GATTAAAGTATAATATATGAAAAGTAAAGGATTGAAATATAGTATGTAAATGATATGGCAAATTAAGGAGTAAAATAGAATATGAAATATATGGCAGGGGAAGGATCAATGTATATTATCCAATATACATGAAATGTAAAATAATAAGGGATAACATTTGATTTGTTTATGGGAATTTTATATATAAACAATGCTAATCTACTTTAGTGCAGTTTGATTACTGTAATCTTTATCTGGTGCATTAGATTGTAGTTCTTTATTGCATGAGGGGTGGTAGAGTGTCAATATTTGGGTGGCGTATTTACCATTAATTAGTTTGTGTGATCCACCTCTAAATACATAGTTCAGTGTTTTGTCAAATTATAGGGCCAGATAAATGTATCGGACATTTCCCAGATATCTTTCCTGACAAGCACTCCAGTTCCGTGCTATGTACTAACACAGAGCAAACTGTGATTTTAGGGATGGCAGAATCTCTAGTTTCCTTTGTGGCTGATCTCCAAATTTTACCCTTCAGCTCCCGCCATCCTCGTTTCTCATTGCCTGACTGGGGATTCGGAGATTTTTAGTTAATATACATTAAGAGACACAGGTTAAGCCGTGCTCACCGTAAAAGTGAACTGTCAGTTCAGAGCACGTGATATCTGCTTCAGCCACGAGGACAAACCAGCATCACTAGATATCAATTGCAAGTTAAGCAAATCCCATGATTCCATGAACATGGCCCAAGAATGAACTCGCACGCAAGGAATGATGGGAAAAAAGATGCCATGTATGCATTGGACATCATATGATGAGATGGTGGCATCAACCACCCAGTACATGTATTTTATATATACCAAGTCAATAATTATTTCAAATGCTTTTAATATCAGCAACAAGGAGGTAAAAGTTCTTCTAACGCTTTTACTCCTGTGAAATGCGGTTTAGAATTCACATACCTGGAAAGAATGCAATTCTTAATCCGAAAATTCTACCCTTCATCCAAATAGTGGTTGCCGTCCCTGAAATTACAGTTTATTGTCCCTTTAGTACATATCATGTTTGTGTAACGTGGTAACGCTCTGACTTTTCCTTATAAACTCTCGATATCCACATGTTGGTACACAACAAAAACCGTTCCAGGTGAAATCTGGTCTGGTGACTCAGCCGGCACTCGCCGCAGTCACTCAGTAGTGATGGTATGGACCAGCGGTTGCTTAAACTAGTAGGCAAAGGTAAGATGGGATTGCAGTGTATTCTTGGGCTAAGGCTTTAGATGGACACGCTGAAAGCAAGTATTGCACCATAAAAAAAAATTTAAAAAAATGTCACGTATCTGGCTCCCATGTGACCCAGAACCCTGTCCTTCACTGCTTGATTCTGTGCTTCAAGGTAAAGGGAGTCATACATATTGGGATTATGTCAAGGTTCAGGACTGCTTAGTGAGGATAGACACATGGTATTTGAATATTTGCATGATATATGTTTTATGATTGGTATTGCACCCTACCCTTCAGCTAGGCTAATCCATGTACCTACCATCCATTATCAGTTGTTCTACCTCCTTATGTCACCTTCCATTGACCAGTAGGCTATAGACATTTGTGCTATAACTGATCTAGCAAACTCTGTATCTAGATAGATGTCTGGGACACTTCAAATCATATGACCAACTTATTCAGATATTTGAGGCCTGGCAGCAGAGGTGTTGACAGTTGAGCACAAGAGTTTTTTTTATATGTTTTATTATATCTGGGCCCTTAAAACACCCCTTCTTCTTAATATGGTGGCTTTCCATGAATCTTTTTCTTAAATTTTATTTTTAACTTTTATTTTCCATTCTTTTTGAATTAATAGACAGCCACCTTTATCAAAATAAAATAATCCATTAAATGTTTTAGCTCTTCCTATATTCTAATTTTCATCAGATAAGAAGCTCAGATTTGTAGGTTTCCTGATGTGCCTGTCCCTTCCACACTGATACAGTACGTCTCACAGACGGGCACCTGTCCCATATTTAGACTTCACTTAGAGTCATTCGTTACTAAGTAGCATTGTTCAGGTTCTCTGGATCATTCCTTGTCCCAGTGGACTCATTCAACTTTAAGACGTCACATTCAAGGGCAACATTCCAAGGTTTCCAGGACAACGCAGATTTTACCAGCATCTCATACATACACACCCACACATAGACTGTCTTTATTCGTAGACCACCGCTACATGTCCCGTTGCTGCATATTTCTCCTGGAACAGCACTGCAGCTCATATTAACCACTGCATGCATGTGTGTGTGTGTGCGCGTGTGTGTGTGTATGTATATATGTTTAATGTGGACTGCCCACTCAAAGTATGCAGTCGATGTCAGTGAAAGAAGTAATTATTGCATACAGCAGATGTTGATTTGTTTGACATGTGAGCACAAGCACAATGCCTCCAAAAAGTCTATGGAATATAGAATGAAACATTGCGATACTTGTTGTGCATGTGTTGCTAATCAAATAAAGCAGCAGCTACTGTCTGCATGTCGCCCTCTTGGGCTGTGTAAATAAAGTGCCTGTTAATCTATGAACGAGTCAATCGATTGGTTAGGGAAATCCCAAACTAATCAATTCGTTCGTCTATAGACTGACAGGTAGGGGCGTTGTTAGCAGACAGTCCAGGGGCTCCAGACCGTGGTACACTTATTTTTTTGCTCCCCCTACATGTAATTATCCCCCTTTTACTAGGCCTCAGGTACAACACTAACCCCTTAGATACTTATCCATTAAACTATAAAATGGAACAGATTTAAGGCATAATAGCAAAATTGAGACAACAGTAGACAAGCTGTCACTATAACAAAGATGGAGAATATTTCAAAATCAGCCATTTTTGTAATTCCAATTTAATTTTGCTACATTTTTGCCACGTAACATCCAAACTTCACCTATTAATTCACATTCTCACCCACGTGGCATTTTTAACACCCTGTATAACATCCACATGGCCCTGCTAATGCATATAGCACTCAGAACACGTAACACAACACACATATTGCCCACATGACTTGCCACCATTCTCATACGTAACTCCTCCCATCTACCAATGCCATACTCTTTGCCAACCATTTTACATCCTTCCTCCCCTGCCATGAATGTCATTTTGCTAGGAATCTTATAAGCGCTGTCCCATTGGTCATTTCTTGCCATCACCATTCATTGGCTGAAAGTGTCAGCTGACTGCGCTCCGGCAAAGATTGACATTCTGTGAAATTGGCAGAGGATTGAAATCCTCCAGCCTGGAACTGTAGTTCTGGACTGCCTGGTGACACCTCTGGCAAAGGAGGGATTTATCTCTGTATGAGCAGCATTTCACTGAAGCACTGCACATACAGACTACAGGCACCATGACCACTTCAAAGTAATACTTAAACCTATTTTATTCTGGTAATGCCCAAACGCAAATACATTATATATTTTGGACTATTGGCTGCTCACATGCTAATAATTATCGAACATGAAATTATAATTTACCATCTTTTATATACATCTACACCAAACATATACCATCTTTCCCCGACAATAATTATATTAATTCTCCCCCCAGAAAATGCACTAGGGCTTATTTTTGGGGGATGTCTTATTTTGAGTAAAAACTGTAGCAAACATGCTAGAAAGCAGGTCTACATTTGGGGGCAGGCCCGGACTGGCCATCGGGCACACCGGGCAAATGCCCGGTGGGCCGCGGTGGCCATGGGCCGAGGCCGGCAGGGGAGGTCCCAGGATCTCCCCTGCCGGTCTATGCAGGGCCGGCGCTATCCGAGCGCTGGCCCCGCTGTGTTCCATGAAGGGCCGGTGGGGAGATCAAAGATCTCCCTCACCGGCCCACATGCTCTCAAACGCGGCCGCCAGCGGGGAGAGAGGGGGGGATAGAGCCATCCTGGAGAGAGGAACCGGCGGAGCTCTAACTTACAGCTCCGCCGGGTTTCTCTCGCGTGATTTGGACCGTTGCTATGACAATCGGCCGGGTCTCGCGAGAGTGAACTCTAGCCCCAAAGGGCTTGAGTTCACTTACCATGAGGACCACCAGGGATGGCTGTCAGGAGCACGAACCCCCCCTTCCAGGCTACAGGTAAGAATAGAGGGGAGGGAGGATATAATGTATTAATTTTTTTAATAAAACATTAATACTGCCATTTACCTGCCTCCCCCCAATACACAATCCTTGCAAACACACACATCACCCAGCACCCTAACACACACACAGCACCTTAACATTTACACAGCACCCTAACACACACACAGCACCCTAACACACACACAGCACCGTAGCACACACACAGCACCGTAGCACACACACAGCACCCTAACACACACACAGCACCCTAACATTGACACATCACCCTAACACACACAGCACCCTAACACTCACACAGCACCGTAGCACTCACACAGCACCGTAGCACTCACACAGCACCTAACACCAGCACCCTAACATTGACACATCACCCTAACACACACACACAGCACCCTAACACCAGCACCTTAACATTGACACAGCACCCTAACACCAGCACCCTAACATTGACACAGCACCCTAACACACATACAGCACCCTAACACCAGCACCCTAACATTGACACATCACCCTAACATTGACACATCACCCTAACGCACACACAGCACCCTAACACATACAACATTGAACCAACATGCTCACTTTGAGATGGGGCGTGCTTGTCATTGGGGATGACAAAACACACCCTATCTGTCCCCGCCCCCTTTTCAGTGGGCCGCTGTAATTAAAAATGCCCGGGCCGAATTTTTTTCCCAGTCCGGCCCTGTTTGGGGGAATTCTCTTGAACATAGACCCATTTAGCAGGGCATGGAATCCCGCGAATCTATGTTCAGGGAAACTTTCCCGAACATAGATTACCTTACTCGCAAATGAAATCCCGCAAATTTCCCCGAACGTAGATTAGCAAAGCAAACTAGCGACTAGGGCTTATTTTCAGGGGATGTCTTATTTCAGGGAAACAAGATGTGTGTGTGTGTGTGTATGTATGTATATATATATATATGTATTATATATATATATATACATACATACACACACACACACACACACACAAAAAAAAAAAAATATATATATATATATATATATATTGCTGTAGATGTAGCAGAAACAGTTAAGGAGCTTCTGGTACCTGACGTGGAAGATTCACTAACTCAGCTATTTTTCCCAGCTCTGTTAGATTGACCTAGAATTTGCAGTTCCCTTGTCAATTCTCCTCAATTCCCAGTTGATGAATAAACATGATTGTACTGAGAGGGTCAGTAATGCTTTTTATATGATACCCCACTCTGCGATAACATCACATACTTGTTAGACTTACATACTTACTGTGAGCAGTCCCAAATTTGGGCTTGTGTCCTGCCTTCCCATGATGCTGCCCTGCTTTTGTGGACACCTGACAAACACAGAGTCACCGTATCATTAGATAGGTTCCCACACACACTGCACTCATTCAACGCACTCTAGAGACCCCCAGAACGGCACTCATTCAGCACACGCTAGAGACCCCCAGAACGGCACTCATTCAACGCACGCTAGAGACCCCCAGAACGGCACTCATTCAACGCACGCTAGAGACCCCCAGAAATGCACTCATTCAACGCACGCTAGAGACCCCCAGAAATGCACTCATTCAGTGCACGCTAGAGACCCCCAGAACTGCACTCATTCTGCGCACACTAGAGACCCCCAGAATCATTATGCGAATGTGCTACCCTGAGTGATCCTGACCAACATGGCTGCCTGTTAGAATACTTCTTATTGCAGCAATACACCTTGTATTTGTAGAGTAAGCATATCCTACAAGCTAAGGAGTAAAGAAAAGAAAAAGATGAAAAAAATGATACTGTGTGGGCTCCTCAGTGATTTTAAATATGGAATTCAGTTGGAATGAAATATTACTTGGAAACTAGTAAATGCACCGCAGATAATGAACCAACAGCAGTCCCCTGTCTGCTATAAAATGCATTCTCTCTGGGACAATAAAAGGAAAACTAGGCTATATTTAAACTACTCTAAATACATTCTTTAATATAAAATCTACTTATGTTTTCTTTATTAATAAAAAGTGGCAGCATGAATTTCCTTAATAACTAATAAAAAGTAATATAAAAATAGTAGTATTTAACTATGGTTACTATTAGTGTTTAGTTTTGCAATTTCAAAAGTGCTTTAAGTACAAACAAAACCCAAAATCAGTGGGGCTTTCTCTGTAACAGCACATGGGCATGTGACAATAACCATTCCTTACTGCACAGTCTCTGAAGAAGTGACTTGGGTCAGTGAAGATTCCCAGAATACCCCCGGCTATGTGCATGCCTCGCCACCTTCGGGTATGAATTCAGGCAATCAGGAGGGTGGAGGGTGCTAAGCCAGGAAAAGTATGTGCCAGTATTGCACTAATTGGCACCGGTGATGCTGTGCTAGTAATGCACTGATTGGCACCAATGATGCTGTGCTAATGCGTTGAATGTCACCGGCGATGCAGTGACATTAGTGCGCTGAATGGCACCAGCGATGCAGTGGCAGTAATGCACTGATTGGCACCGGTGATGCTGTGCTAGTGCGCTGAATGTCACCAGCGATGCAGTGGCAGTAATGCACTGATTGGCACCGGTGATGCTGTGCTAGTGCGCTGAATGTCACCAGCGATGCAGTGGCAGTAATGCACTGATTGGCACCGGTGATGCTGTGCTAGTGCGCTGAATGTCACCAGCGATGCAGTGGCAGTAATGCGCTAAATGTCACCGGTGATGCAGTAGCAGTAATGTGCTGAATGTCACCGGTGATGCAGTGCCAGTAATGCACTGATTGGCATCGGTGATGCTGTGCTAGTGCGCTGAATGTCACCGGCGATGCAGTGACAGTAATGCACTCAATGGCACCAGCGATGCAGTGGCAGTAATGCGCTGAATGTCACCGGTGATGCAGTGCCAGTAATGCACTGATTGGCATCGGTGATGCTGTGCTGGTGCGCTGAATGTCACCGGCGATGCAGTGACATTAATGTGCTAAATGGCACCTGCGATGCAGTGGTAGTAATGCGCTGAATGTCACCGGTGATGCAGTGGCAGTAATGCGCTCAATGGCACCAGCGATGCAGTGCCAGTAATGCACTGATTGGCATCAGCGATGCAGTGCCAGTAATGCACTGATTGGCACTGGTGATGCATGGACATTTTGCTCATTTGGGTGCACTCTGACATAGGCAATTGCTACTATACAGTTAATACTTGTAGAAGTATAATTCCTGATAAAAACAAAAAATGGAAGAACATTAAAGGGATACAATAGTCACCAGAACAACTAAAGCTTAATGTAGTTGTTCTGGTGAGTGTAGTCAGTCCCTGCAGGTATTTTCATGTAAACACTGCCTTTTCAGAGAAAAGGCAGTGTGTTCATTGCTCCCTTAGGGACACCGCCAGTCACTTAGACAGTCACTAAAAGGGCTCCCTGGGTCAGTGCTGCACAACGCTCAGCATGGAGACGCTAAACTTTTCCCACAGAGATGCATTGATTCAATGGATCTCTATGAGGAGATGCTGATTGGCCAGCATGGTGTTTGGCTCTGCCCCCCGCCACTCCTCCTTGGCTGACATCATCAGAACTGACAATCTCAGCAAGTCCAATGATTTCCTATGGGAAAGCATTGTGATTGGCTGAGATAATCAATTCTGGTTATATCAGCCAAGGAGGCGGATCGTGGGTGAGGCGGGGCTGGAATAAAGGTAAGTAAATATCTTTTTAGGTGGGATAAAGTGTGGGGGGGGGAATGACCACATAATTAGTTTAATACTAGAGGGTCAGGGATAGACATTTGTGTTCCTGACCATATAGTGTTCCTTTAAACTCAAATCTATTGTGCATCTCTGGGACTAGGACTGCTGGGCAATATTACACCTTCAACAACAGAGGGGTTAAACTCCATATATGCAGCGTTTCTTAGCGAAATGTTGCACATACAGGCCATAGCACCTTGACCACTTCTAATCACTGAAGTGGTCATAGTACTCGGGCTAACCCTTTAATAAAGAAACATTTATTATGACAAAAAGTGGTTACAGTGTAAACATATAAAAATAGATGATAAACAAGTTAAAGGAACACTTAATAAATAGCATTAAATAGCATCTAAAGTTGCTTCCAAAACTTGAATTGAATTATATATATTGTAAGTGTTGTGTTGTCTCTCAAGCTCTCTCTGGCAGCATATCTGATAAGACCTGCCTTATAACCAGATACAGGGCCGTCTTTAACGCGAGGCAAACGGGGCAGCTGCCCCGGGCCCAGTTACTCCTGGGGGGCCCAAAGCAGCTGCCCCGTGGCCCCACCGCCCATCGCCTGCATAAGAAAAATTCCCTCCCCATCCATAGGCCCGCGGTGCTTGTATTGCGGCCCATCGGGTGGCCAATACACTTAGGGCCACCCGGTGAGCAAGTTTCAGCAGGGGGCCCAGTCGGGTGCTGTGGCCCTTTAACAGCACGACCGGGCCCTCTGATTTATGGCAGCATGGGAGGAAGTGACGTCGGTGAGTCACTTCCTCCCTCTGAGATGATGAGCCGCGCAGGAGGGAGGCTGAGCCAGGAGGCAGCGAGATGGGGGACTGAGCAAAGAGAGCCAGTCCCCAACTCCCAACCACCCAAGGCAGCACACTGGACCCCAGGGAAGGTAGGAAACTGGAGGGGGCTTTACAGTTTGCATATTATGTCAGTATGTGTGTGTTTATGTCAGTAGGTCTGTGTGTGTATCAGTCACTATGTCTGTGTGTGTGAGTATGACAGTGTGTGTCTGTCACTATGTGTGTGTGTTTGTCAGTAGGTCTGTGTGTGTGTGTCTGTTAGTATGTCTGTGTGTGTGTGCCTGTCAGTAGGTCTCTGTGTGTGTGTGTGTGTCTGTTAGTATGTCTGTGTGTGTGTGCCTGTCAGTAGGTCTCTGTGTGTGTGTGTGTCTGTTAGTATGTCTGTGTGTGTGTGCCTGTCAGTAGGTCTGTGTGTGTGTGTGTCTGTTAGTATGTCTGTGTGTGTGTGCCTGTCAGCAGGTCTGTGTGTGTGTGTGTGTGTCTGTTAGTATGTCTGTGTGTGTGTGCCTGTCAGTAGGTCTGTGTGTGTGTGTGTGTGTCTGTCTGTCGGTAGGTCCATGTGTGTCAGTATGTCTGTGTGTCAGTGTGTTTGGGTGTCAGTATGCCTGTGTGTGTCAGTATGTCTGTGTGTGTGTGTGTGTGCCACTATGTCTGTCTGGGTGTGTGGTAGTATGTGTCTGTGTGTGCCAGTATGTCTGTCAGTGTATGTGTCGGTGTCCATATGTCAGTATGTATGTGTCAGTATGTCTGTCAGTTTATGTGTCTGTGTAAGTATGTCTGTCAGTTTGTATACATATAATCTGTGTGTATATGTGCATACATCTCAGCATTCACACACTAACACTACATACAAATACACCCCTGCATTCAAACTCCAACACTAGGTACAAACACATGTCTGTGTTACACACCAAAATTATATGTAAACACACCCTTGCATTCAAAAACCAACACTACACATAAATACATGCTTGCAAGTACACCAACACCACATACAAACTTATTTTACAAAAAAACCTGTTTACATTCAAACACACAAAAACAGCGTTGTGCTAAATACAAACCTTCAAACATGGGTAAATGGTAGAGCCACAGCTGTCAATGCATTGCTGAAGTTGCACGACAGATGGGGAACTACCTTCTAATCACCCGTGCGATAGGGAGGCTCAAAAAATTCTTACACCGCTCTACTTTAGGTCTGCCTCTGCGTTGGGGTGGAGGACATGATTGCACACCTGGCGTGGGTACCAGGGGGCCCAAGCAAATGCTTTGCCCAGGGTCCAATCAATATTAAAGACGGCCCTGACCAGATACTTGTAAAACTATCTATAAACTATTTGGTTTAACATAACACAGGCTTTATTCACAGCCCTTTCCTGTGAGCTGACTATTTCCTCTAGTCTAGTCATTATTATTTGTAAAAGTGCTGTGCAGTGGGTGAACTAAGTATTTTCAACGAGATGAGTTGGACAC